AAAGGAGACCTCAGGTGCTGTGTGGAGCACTCCTGTCCCAGGGGCTCTGCAAGGATCTTTCCCTGACTTGGCACCAGGCTTTAGGGAGCTCTTGGTTAAGGGCTCGGGAGCTCCAGGAGCATCCAGTCCAGTCGTCCTGTGTCCCCAGGAGCTGCTTTTGTCAGGTCAGGGGAAGCACAGCGCTCACTGGTGGCTTTCCAGGACACCAGAGCTCTGAGAACACTCATCAGGCTGGATCCAGGGGGGCTTTTGGCTCTGTTTTTTCACCCCTTGACCTGACCCCAGTGCCTTCACTCTGCTCCCCAGCGCTATGGTGTAGGATAGCCCCTTCTTGTGTGTTGGGGTGTAACCCCATACCCCCTCCCACGTGTTGGGGGGCTGTGGGCACTGCACGCTGCTCAATGCCTGCGCTGCCCTCAGCAGTGGTGGCTCTTTCCGCTGTGCAGGTTGGTGTACGACAGGGAGACGGGAAAGCCAAAGGGCTATGGCTTCTGTGAGTACCAAGACCAGGAGACAGCCCTCAGTGCCATGCGGAACCTGAACGGGCGAGAGTTCAGCGGCAGGGCCCTGCGTGTCGACAACGCGGCCAGCGAAAAGAACAAGGAGGAGCTGAAGAGTGAGTCTGAATTTTGTGGTGGAGAGCACGCTGTCATGCTGGGCCTGGCCTTTTCAATGTTACAAAGCGTGCCTCTTCTGCGAGGCCGGTGAGGTGGAGACCTCGCAGAGCTGACCTGCTCCAAGCGGTGTATGCAGAGGGATGCGTGGGCTCAGCTCTGTGTTTTCTCTCTCAGGTGATCTCTCTGTTTCCACTGCCTCCCTTTCCCCGTAACGGCGTGGCACTGCTTTTCTGATGAACCTGTTAAAAATGGATGGTTCACGTTGCTGTACGAGGTCACAAACTCTGTTGCAGGCTTGGGCACAGGTGCACCCATCATAGAATCACCCTACGGGGACCCTGTCAATCCTGAAGATGCCCCTGAGTCAATCAGCCGGGCAGTAGCCAGCCTGCCACCCGAGCAGATGTTTGAGCTGATGAAGCAGATGAAGGTGAGTGAAGCAGAGGGCTGTGCTCCCTGTGAGCACAGCTTGTACCACTGCTGCCCGTGCCCTCGCAGCCCCTGTCGCACCTTGCCAGAGCTCTGACCTGCGTGTGTCTCCTCAGTTGTGTGTCCAGAACAGCCCCCAGGAAGCCAGGAACATGCTGCTCCAGAACCCCCAGCTGGCTTATGCCCTGCTGCAGGCCCAGGTGGTCATGAGGATTGTTGACCCGGAGATTGCACTGGTTTGTTCCTTGCCACCTTGTCCGGGGTTGGTAGGATATCGGTGGCAGCCTGTTGTGGAGGGGGGTTGGAAGAGAACTCCTTTCTCTTTCTTCTGCCCCTAGAAAATCCTGCATCGCCAGACCAGTGTTCCTCCTCTGATCCCAGGCAACCAGCAGCCAGTGCCAGGGCCGGGACCGGGACCAGGGCCTGGGCCAGGTCCAAATGCCCAGCTGAACCCACAGAATACCCCCTCGCCCCAGCCACAGCCCATAGTAAGTGCCTACGCGATGCACGTGCTGTGCAGCGGAGAGATGGGCATTGCTGACTCTAGCTCTCCCAGCTGGAGCGCGCGTGCCTGGGTGACGGGGCTTCTCTGAGGTTCGTTTTCTCTCCTGGGTAGGGTGGGATGCACGTAAACGGCGCTCCTCCTCTGATGCAGCCGCCCATGCAGGGAGGAGTGCCAGCCCCAGGACAGATGGCAGCCCCTGTGCAGGGCCCGGGCCCCGGCCCCATGGCTCCAGGAGGTGAGTGCATGGGTTTTGGCTGAACAGTGCCCCGGGCACATGGGTCCTGCAGGCAAGCCTCTCTCTACCTCACCCCAAGCCAGAGAGCTTGGCCTCCTGAGAGCACACGTAGTCGCATACCATGTGTTGTTGTGGCTGCTGCCAGTGGTGGTCCAGAAAGTTGACTTATTTCTGCTGGGGACAAACAGCAAGAAAATAAACCTCCAGGCACTACCTCAAGAGCTGGGAGGAGGGTGGTATTTGAGGCCAAAGGAATTGGTTAGTGGGGCAGGGATGGCTGAGGAGGGGTCTGATCTCTGCCTGTTCTCTCTCAGGTGGGATGCAGCCGCAGGTTGGGATGCCGGGCGCTGGGCCTGTCCCCTTGGAGCGCGGACAAGGTAAAAGAGACGTGGGTTAGTGCTGTGTGTCATGTGAGCCTTGCTCCAGTGGGGGCCCGGGCTGTGGGTGCTGAGCAATGCTGTGCCAAGAGCCCCTGCCAGCTACCTGCAGCCTTGCTGTCCCTGGATCCAGGGCAGCTCCCGCAGCGCTGGGCTGTGCCCGGGCTTGTTCGCTTAGGCGCAAGGCTGTGGTAGCAGCTCTCCTGCTTCCAGGGCCCCAGCCCACGCACCAGTTTGCTCCCAGCTTGTTCTGCACCGTGTTGTGCAGACGTGCCCTGGAAGTCAGGAGAGCTGCTGGTCCCTGCAGAGCCCCACCGAGTGGGACGTGCCTGTGTTTTCCATCTCTCTGTGAGCCTGCGTCTGTCCCTGTGCTTGTGCAGGCAGGCAGAGCTTGCTCTTCTCTGGTCCCTGTCCTGCTCCTTTGCTGCCTGGGTGCTGGGAAGCAGCCTGTGCTGCCGCCGCATCTCCCAGCGCTCCCTGCACCGCGTCCGGCAGAGGGAGCCGGCCCTTCGCTTTTGCTTGTGACAGTGAGTGCCAGGCTTGGCAGGGAATTTCCTGGTGAGCGACAGCTTGGCTTTCCCTCCGCAGGCACGGTCTGTACGGCCCAGCCCTGGAGCCGCATTCCTTATGGTTCGCAGGGTCAAGCCATGCGCCAGGGTTAGCACAGCCGAGGCGTTCCTGTTCTCCCAGTAAGAAGGCACGCAGGCAGTTGACACCCCTATTGCCTTGACTCGTACTGTAGGCCTTGTTTTAGGGACGTGGCAAACCTGTTCTGAGATCCTCTCGTCGTAGGTACTTAGGGGCAGCTGACTCTCATTTTCTTTGGGGTGGGCACCGTCTTCCTGAGAGCAACCCAGTAGTTCCTGTCACCTGGAAGGTTTTGGAGAGCAGACAGAAAGCTGGCACTGGGAAGTGCCATGGGAAGCTGTGGGCAGAGGCAGAAGCTGGCTGGC